GGTAAAAGCTAATGTAGACAACTCAGGTAGTTTCCTAAGGGTATCTCAAACTTTAATGTACATTTCCTGAACAGTCAAAAACAAATTGCCCACTTCACCTGTAATTAAGTTTCACTTGTTAGTTCTTTGCTGTCTAAATAGCTTCACAGCCTAAACGTTTAAGGAACCTGTGTAAAGATTTTCTATTTGGGGCCTCCCCGGTGGCGCAGTGGTTGAGCGCTGGGTTGCGAGGCTGCCCGCGGCCTCTGCGGAGCCGGTTTGATCCCCGGCTGCTCCCCGGCCACCGGAGGAGGGTCCCACATGGTGCGCAGACCTCTCCTGCCGCCCGCTGCTCCCCTCAGCAGTGGACTTCGGTCCTTCTGCCTGCTCTGCTCCCCGCTCTGGCTCTGGTGAATTCTCTCACCCTCCCGCGCTTCTGACTGTACCCAGTGCTTATATAAATAAAATATAAATAAATAAATCTTAAAAAAAAAAAAAAAAAAAGATTTTCTATTTGGAGTCTGTCCTAGACACCTCTGCCACCTTCATATACATTGTATCTTCTAATGTGTTCTTGTAGGGCTGTTATAAAGCATGATTTTGAAATGATTAAACTCTAAAAACCCGTTTTTCTTAACGGATAATGGACTGAACATAATGTTCTTGATCTCTGCACTGTTACTTTTTTTAGTTGTTAGAAACCCTTGAAATCTGATAGTGTAGTAGGTGCACAATTTAAACAGTTCAGAAATTTCAGTACTAAATGTCATTTAGCTAAAACATTACACATTTACTACCAACCTTGTTTTGAAGTCTTGAGACACAAAGAAAATAGACGTGTTTTACTGAGAAAACTAGGAAAATGCAACTTCGGGATTTAAAGTAAAGAAGGGTACTAAATCAGAGCAAGTGTTGGGTAGGTGTGAGGAAAAAGGAACCCTTCATACAGTGCTGTGGGAATGTAGACTGGTCAAATTAAAAATACACGAGCCAGTAAACACACACACACTTGGAAAGTGAAAATAAATTTGAAGGGCTGTATACACTCCTATGTTTAGCACTGTAACAGCCAAGTTAGGGAAACAACCTAAGTGCCAACTGATGAGTGGATTCAGAAGATGTGTGATATAAACACAACAGAGTGCTCAGCTAATAAAGATGCACTTCTACCATTTGCAACAATATAGGTGGAACCTGGAAGGGGTTAAGCCGGGAGAGAAAAACACCAGGTGGTTTATTCAACTGGAATATAGAAACAAAGGGGCAGATACAGCTGCTAAAAACAAGCTAGAAATCTGACACCAGAATTGAGGTGGAAAAGGAGAGAGGTTGAGAGCAAAGGGAAGTAGGGGGTCCATGGGCTGTGGTGGAGTTAGAGGTGCCTTTGCAGTGGGTGTGGTATGGAAACACCCAAAGGTGTGATACCACTGCATCTTACAGTGTTGTAAACTAATGTTACCTTGGTGATTAGATGTCTACAACAAGGTATAGTCAAACATAACGTTCTTTAAAAATTTTATTAAGGTTTTAATTATAAAACGAGCAGATTTTATACTTCTATAACCCAGACCAAGTCAAATTCATTAGTTTGTCAAATATCTCTTAAAATAAGACCTGGTTGGGGCCTCCAGTGGAGGCCTAGGGGTTAAGTCTCAGCACCATTATCTCTATGGGCTGAGTTCCATCCCTGGCCAGTAACTCACATGGCACAGCAGACCCCTCCTGTCTTACCCACTGTTCCCTTCTGCTGTGTATTTCAGTAAATCCCCCTGTTCTGCTCCCTACTCTTCCTCTGGTAAGTCCTCCCCCACCAAACTGGCCTACACCCCAATTCTATGCAAAAAAGAAAAAAGATGGTTGAAGATGGCAACACTCCACACACAGGAACTACTACTAATTCATGGGCTGGCACACTACATGGGATACTGGGAAGAGCCCTTTGTTCTTTAGAGACCATCACAAGTAGGAGACAATGAAGAGGAGGTAGGTGGAGAGATGACTGGAGGCCAAGAAACAGGAATGGGACCTTGGAAAGAGGAAATGATGTTAAGGCACATAACCTTCACTGAAGTGAAATGCATATGAAGTGCTGGGGTGCTTGAAACAAGCCAGGTTCTTGGTTAAGAAGAAGTTAATCTAGATTCTTGCTCTCCTTAGTTGTGGTGTTTATTTTCTGAAGCATAATGACAAAGAGACTCATGTCTGGAACACGGAGGAGGGACATCAGCATTGCCATAAACTTGAGGCAGACACCCCCTTAATGACCACTACATTAGCACCAGTGACTGACCTTCTGTAGGTCTCTACATACCCTGCTTGATCAAGTACACAAACCGGTCTCAATACCTATGGATCAGGAGAGGAAAGCATCCCACACCTAGGACAGGAACTGAATATACAAGTCATGAAGCTAACCTTTACTGAACTGCAGTAAGACCTACAGAGAGGCAAGATACACCAAGAATTCAAGAAAGAAACTACTGAATGTGGCCAAGGGAAAGATCAGGTAACTTAAATGTATTCCCTTCAGATTTCCAAGCAGGCATGCTACAAGCCATGAAAGGATGAAATGGCCTGTTTAAAATAATAAACTGTCAGTTAAGAGTGCTTTATATCCTGTAAGACTCTGAGATATGGAGAAACAAAGGTCTTCCCTGACAAATGAGTTTCCCAACACTAGCCTGCCCCCTGAAGAAACACTGAAAGAACATCTGAGTTGAAGTCCACAAAAAACTGAACAAGGAAATAAATGGATAAAGTAGGACGCCAAAAGACAAAATGGCAGTAGCAAGCTTTCACATAAATCAATGTAAAGGGATTGAATTCACTTATCAAAAACTAGCCAGTTGGAGAGAAAACCTGTGTAAGAGACACAAGTCATGGCAAGAAATGATTTAAAGCCAAGGCTGGAAAGGGTAATTTTTTTTAAAGCAGGAACAATTAATATTGATTTCCGGCTGAAACAACGCGCGCGAGAAAGAGAGAGAGAGAGAGAAACATTAGGTAATGGTAAAGGATCAATGAAATAGGAAGATAAGTATCGATATACATAAACTATTAACAGAGCTAAATACAGACATGTCAACATAATAGGGAGTTCTATCCCCCCACTTGCAGCAATGGACATATCCAGAAACAACTATTAAGGAAAACAATGGCTTTAAACGGTAAATTGGATGAGATTGACTTAATAGATATTCAAAGAACATTTACCCCAAACAGCAGAATACACATTCTTTTCAAACACTTAATGGCACATTCTTAAGAACACACTGTATTTTGGAACAATTGCATAGAAAAGAAAGACCTTGGAATGAATTTAATGAAAGGTCAGTTCACAAAAAAATTAAGGCATGATTTAAAGACATAGACACAGAAAGTTATTCCATACTTAAGGATTGTAGTCAGTGAAACCCCTAACGATCCAGTGTTATTCTTCACAGAAACAGAACAAGAAAATAGTGAAATTTACTTGGAATGAGTTAAGTACCTGAATAACCTGAACACTCCAGAAAACAAAAACAAATACACTTCTTGACTTCAATCTAAACTACAAAACCAATGTAACCAATATGGTTTGTATTGGAATAAAAACAGATACAAATATCCAACAACTGAGAACCTAGAAATAAACCCACACATACAAGAAAGTTAAGAGTAAGGAAACTTTCTTCAATAAATGGTATGGGGAAAATGTGACATGAAAGAATGAAATTAGACTGCTATATATAGGGCCTCCCTGGTGGTGCAAGGGGTTAAGATGCAACCTATGAAACTATCTGCAGCCACTGCAGCGTGAGTTCAATCCCCGGCCAGCCAGGGAGCAACTCCCATGGCGCGGATAGGGCCTCCCTGGTGGTGCAAGGGGTTAAGATGCAACCTATGAAACTATCTGCAGCCACTGCAGCGTGAGTTCAATCCCCGGCCAGCCAGGGAGCAACTCCCATGGCGCGGAAGCCCTCTCCTGTCTCGCCGGCTGCTCCCCTCAGCAGTGTATTTCACTCAGTCTGCCTGTTCTGTTCCCCACTCTGTCTCTGGGGAATCCTCTCACCCCCCCACACCTCTGGCCTGTATCCCAGTCCTTGTATGCATAAATAAATAAATCTTAAAAAAAGACTGCTATATATAGAAATTCAAAATGGAATAAAGACTTAGATGTAAGACCTGAAAGTATGAAATACAAAGAAAATATAAGCGATATGTTGCCTATCAGCCTCAAAGATATGTTTGAGGACTCAATTCCTTGATGGGAGACACACACACACAAAAAAAAAATGGGACTCCATGTATCTAAAACCTGTACAGCAAAGGAAACCTGCATAAAGGCAAAAAATATTCTACAGAATTAAAGAAGATATTTTAACATGTATCTGATAGGGTTAATACTAAAACTCACGAAAAAGCCCCATGAAAAAATGGGCACAGGATCTGGTCAATTCTCTAAAGATGTCATACAGACGGCCACTAGGTGCATGAAGAGATGTTCATTATCTCTTAGAGAAATGCAAGTGCATATGAGATTAACTCAGACCTGTGAGAGAGTATAAGATAAGGAAAAGTAAATGTGGAGAGAAGGGAATCCTTAAATACTATTGGTGGGAATGTAAACTGGTGTAGCCATTATGGAAAGCACTATTGGAGACACCATAAAAAATTACAAATATAAAAGCTAAATCCAGATATCCCACTTCTGAGTATTTATCCAAAAATTATAAAAACTAATTCTAAGAGATATATGCATGCTTATGTTTATTGCAGCACCAAGTGCCCATCAACTGGCAAAGAGGATGATTTATTATATAAACAAAGGGATACTATTCAGGGTGTGTGTGTTTGTGTGTGTATGCGTATGAAAAAAGATGAGATTCACCTAATTACAACAATATGGGTCTACCTATTGGGAATTGTGCTTAGTGAAATAAATTAGAGATAAAAAGACAAATACCATTCACTCGTGATACAGAGAAAATAGATGAGTTACATAAAACAAAAATAAACACTTGGAATACAAGCTCAATTAGTGGTAATCAGAAGGGTGTGGGAAGGAGGTAGGTAAATCAGGAAGAGAAAATGGTATGGTGAAGGACAGACTTGAACGTTTAGCGATGAACTTAATATTTACAGTTTATTCTCAATAATGAATACTCAAAACAATATAAGTTTATGTTAAATTTACATTTAAATTTAACAATAAATTTCCTTCAAGAAAAAATAAAGTTAGTGCTGTGAGGAATCTACAGAATTACTAGCTTTACAAGAGGCACAGTGTAGAAATGCTTCGCTGGGACAGAAAGGCTGGCCTGCCCAGTGTAAAAAGGGCACAGGAGTTGGCTGTTCAAAATTACTTGATGGGTTTTATGAACAAGGACAGGAATTCACACGTAATAATCTCTCTGTAAGTCTAACAATGTCCTGGTTTACAGTTTTTGCTGTATTCTAGATTCTGATTTTATAATCTTGTTGCCCTTCCAAATAAAGGATAACTGCAAACATACAAAGTTGCCACTTCCAACTCAGGAAGGGTGGGAGTTGTACATTAAAATCAGATCAGAGACTCACCCCCATCCAAAGAGTTCTCCCCACAGCCCTTGAACCTACATAACCATAGTGTTCAGTGGTGGCATCAAACCCACACTTTAGTGCTTGGGCAACTTCAATGTAACATGCTTCCCTTGCAAAAGCAAATAAAAGCATTAACTGTTTTGTTTTGCTTTAAAACACAGAAATAAACACCAGGATTTATAGAAAACTTGAAGTTAGAAAAAACAAACTCTTAATTTCCTTAAATATTCTCATATGTACCATTCCACATTGTGGAAAAACTGATATATGCAGTCTGGACACAACACTGAGATTTCAGAATACCGACACACATGTATATATTTCATAATATATTAGAACTACCGTGTCCCATCTTACAGATGACAATAGATAGCAGGCCTCAAACTGCAAGAGATTTACAGATGAAACTTTAAATCTGAACGTGGGAGCTGTGTTGGATTCCAAACTGTTTCAAGGAGTATTTAGCAATACATCTTAAAAAAAAAAAACTCCATCCCAATCCTTTCTGCTAGGTTATTGCAGCTGCACTCTGTATGCACCTATCAGCAACTTGACCTATCGAAAAAAGAAGAAATGCAAGTATCAGTGCCAATGCAGAGTTCCCTTTTCTTAGGAGAAGAAAAAAAATATGGCCACAATTTATTTTTCTTATTTGTCCATACACTCAAACTGTTAACCAATTTGGGTTGTTATCACCACTTTAATTTAAAAAAATCTAAGTACACATATAATTTAATTTTTAGATTGTATTAAACAACTATAATATAGACTATTATAGTCCAGCTTTATTTCACCAAGGGTGATCAGCCCAGAAAGCACATACTGTCAGCAATTAAATACCAAAGTCTAGGAGCACACAACCCAGATTGCTAGACATGCATTCATCTCATTTTTCACACTAGACTGTTTCTTAACACATTGTTTGTTTTATCTAACACGTTTTAAATTTAAATTTTAAATGTACCAGGGCGCACTTCTCACCAGGACACAATTCTTTCAATATTTTTCTAGTGATAAATTAATAATCTGGAGTAACAGTTTGAGTAATGCTATGAGGAAAGTATTTTCACCTTAGCAGAGGGTGCCTCTGTCAACCTTATAAAGAGTTTATTGATGCCTGCAGCAGGGCTGAACGAGTACACAAAATGACTGTCCTAGAATGGAAAGAAACCAAAAGAGGTAAAGTTGGTATTTCTTCAGACATACCACATCCAGAAACAAACTTCACATCCAGAAACAAACAGCTATATTCAAGAGACAAGAAACCGTTAAAATTCCAATATGTAAAAGAGAAATCTGTCTTTGTATTTGAATTAAATAAGGCTATATGCTGTGATTTATTCTTGATTTTATGAAAAAGATACAAATGACACAAAAGCATATAAAATTTGTATATTAAAACATTATCCTGACAAATCTTTAGGATTACAATGTGTGTGTGTTTGTGTATAGAGAGAAGATTAAAAATGTTCATAACCAGTTAATTTTGCTTAATCTAGCCATAGGAAAAAATTATAAATTTGTTAAAATGTCACACAGTCTTCAAGAACATTTTTAATGACTAAAAAAAATTAATATAGCCAATAATAAATTAGCTATTATTTATACTTTCTACACTTGATCTTATCTGAAAGGCCGAGAAGTGATGTATTTATACTTTCTGAATTTACTTTAAGTGAATATTTATAATTACAATGGCAGAAAACAGAAACAATATTTCAAATTAGTATGTGTCTTTCACCACATAGTTTATATTCAAAATGTTACTGCTAAGACATTGCAATAAGACAAATCTAAGGCACAGAAACAAATCATGAAGATTTTATTGAAAAAATTCTTGGTAATTTTATTTTGTAATTATGATCTGATTTGCAAAACTAGTTTACTGAATAATAATGAATACACTTTATTAAAGCAGCAATTCAAAAGTCAAACGTGCTTTTGACTAGAAGAATGTACTTTTCAATAATGAATTACAGAAAATCTTACCAGAAAAACAGGAAGTTGGAATTTATCATTTAAAACTACGGCTTGTACACTACACGGTCCACAGAGTCTAGCAATAACTTCTTTACCCAAAAAGTTTGCATGAAAAATAAACAGCAGGATCCCAGAGCCTGAATAAAGGAGATGTAAATATGGATTTCAATACTGATATTAACAGAGTCAATCTGCAGAACGCTGAGGGAGAGCACTGTACAAGTGAAGTGCCCCGAGCAAGCCTGGGTGCTGTGCTCAGCACTCTGCAGGTGCCCACCAAACATCAGAAGTTGTTGGTGTTACCTACATTTTTCAAACCAGAGAACAATTTTGTTTCTGTTTTTGTGTACCTGCTTATACTGATACTCCAATATCAAGTCTTTAATTGGCAGGACCATATTTTTAAAATAAATTTTACATTTTAAATACATGTGTTTTTTAAAAGTGGTTTTTTTTTTTTTAAAAGATTATTTATTTTATACAAGAACCGGGGTACAGACCAGATGCGTGGGAGGGTGAGAGGATTCACCAGAGACAGAGTGGGGAACAGAACAGGCAGACTGATGAAATACACTGCTGAGGGGAGCAGCAGGCAAGACAGGAGAGGTCTGCAGCGCCATGTGGGACCCTTGCTGGCCCGCCGGGATCGAACTGGCACTGCAGAGGCTGCAGACAGCTTCACAGTGCGGCACTCAACCACCTGCACCACCAGGGGAGGCCCTTAAATACATCTTCTTTTAAAAAATGGGTGGGGGGTCCAACAAAAAAGAGCCAGAGCCCAGTTTCCCACTTTCAGGCAGACAGTGCAGTTTCTGTTTCTAGAGAAAGACACAGTCCTGGTCTTGCCTGGAAACTAGCTGTTCAGTGAAATCTGGGAAAAAAGAGCTGTTTCCATCTCTTGCTGTAACAATTTACTATGGAACAAGACATTTTTTATTTTTATTTAATAAGTTGATTTTAATAAAAATCAGTACAATTATTAAGACCCAACTTAAGAAGCAAGTGCTAACACAGTTCTGTGAACCTTCTGAGCCACTTGTGATTGTGGTTATGAGATGAGTCTCTTTTTCCTGCCAAGGTAGCTTTGCTGCAAGTTATTTTACATAATTACTACATGTGACAGAATTTTCCTAATGTTTTGTTCAAAGAAAGAGAATGGTTTAACAATCAGTAAATATTAAGTGTCACATTTCAAACTGAAAAAATACACTTACCATCTGGTATGTTCTGTGGGGGTTTGTAATTGAAATCTGTTGAAAAATCTGGCCCCTCACAAAGACGATGACATGCTATTGGAAAAACTGGTTCTAGTAGAGCAAGACGTGCTTCAAAGTAATCCCTTATTGTTTCTTCTGCCACTCTTGAAAGTCTAAAACAAAACAGAGTAATAATTATTAATATTATGTAGAAAAGATTCATGAGTCATAAAATTATTCAACTGTTGAATACCAGCAAGGCCTTCCCAGGTCAACTTCCTCCAGCCACACCGATCTAATTTTTAACATTCCACATCTGACATGCCATATATGTCTATTTACTATCTCTCTATGTGTGGTAATTTACAATCCAAGAAGCAAGTCTTTCTCTCTGGTACTATTTCCATCTCCTTATCCTTGAACAGTGCCTAGCACAGAGATGATGTTTGATATATACATATATTTGTGTTATGATGGAAATGAATCAAAAATGAGAATTCTATTAAAATACAAATTCAAGAATTATCATACATACAAGTCATGTGTTTAGTTTGGAAAACAGTCAAAAAAAAGGACTACTGTTAATTCAGAACATATTTTTAAACCATCTTGCTAGGAGCTAGAAGGAAACAAACTCATCTGAATGCCTGTGACATTTTGGTTCTAACTCTAAAAGGTCAACATCCCAGGAACCCCTCAATCTCACACTAACCTGGAAGTCTGGTCACCTTACTTGGTGTTTATAATTATTACCCTATGTGGAGAGACTGAGAGAAGCTGGCTTCCCAGGACTCCTTGAAGCCATGAACATTAGTCATGAACCCTAGCAAGAGTTAATGGCTGGGTGAGGCTTCCAGCAAAGGCTGGCACAGTGGGCAGAATAATCAGGCACATGCACCTTGTCTGGCCTTTGCCTTTTTCATCTTATGCCCAAAATTTATCTGTTTAGAATACAGATCTTATACCTGGAATCGGACTAAACCATCTTGCAGGTTGAAGACCCAAGTTATAACCTAAGTATGTGGACGAGGAAGAGAGGTTCTTTCTACTCAAGACTGCCTATCCTGGACTCCTTGTTAGAAATAGTAACACCCGGGCCTCCCTGGTGGTGCAGGGTATTAGGCACAGCACTATGACGCTATTGCAGCCTCTGCAGCACAAGTTCGATCCCCGGCCCACCAGGGAGGTGACCCATATGGCGCAGCAGACCTCTCCTGACTCGCCCATTGCTCCCCCCAGCTGTGTTTTCAGTCAGTCTGCCTGTTCTGCTCCCTGCTCTGTCTCTGGTGAATCCTCTCACCCTCCACACCTCTGGCCTGTTCCCCAGTTCTTGTAGGCATAAATGAATAAATCTTAAAAAAAAAATAATCCCCTACTTGTGTTAGCTACTGTTAGGAAATTTCTCTTATGTATTGCCAAAAGAACTTTTAGTCATAAAAAACTACTGAATTACCTTTAAAAAAAAAGAAAAGATTTATTTATTTATATATACAAGAACTGGGGTATATGCCAGAGGTGTGAGGACTGAGAAGATTCACTAGAGACAGAGTAGGGAGCAAAACAGGCAAGACAGGAGAGGTCTGCTGCGCCATGTATGTGAGCGCCCTGGCCAGTCAGGGATCAAAGTCATGCTGCAGTGGCTGGCAGTAGCTTGATAGCACTGTGTCTTTAACCCCTGCACCGCCAGGGAGGCCCTAAATTACTTTTGTTAATCATGAACTTGCAATAAAATGAAATGATTTAGAATTAGATGAAAAAGAATGAGCCTGAATGATTGGAGAAAGGGTGTTACATTCAGACAACAGAATATTATTTAGTGCTAAAAAGAAATGAGCAACAAAGCCACGAAAAGGCATAGGGGAACCTTAAATGCATATTACAAAATAAAACAGTCTGAAAAAAGTAAATATTCTACAACTACATGAGTTTGAAGTGTGTAGGTACAATAAACAATAGATTTTTTTCCTCTCCTTGGATTCTGTATACACAAATTAAAACTGCGACTGTCAGCTGGCTGAATCTGAGATGGGGAAACTTCTGCAGATATGGATACAGAGGGATTTTAACATTTTCACATTTGGTAAGGTGGCAGGCGTGGAGTGTCCTGAAGCCAGTCCTCCGTGAACACCAAGGAATGACCATTAGTTAAGTTTTAAAGGAGTCAAGAGTTATATGCAGATTTTCTACTGGGGAGGTGGAAGGAAGTTGGCATCCCTAACCCTACACTGTTTCAAAGATCAATTGTACTATATGGTTTCAAATACAACGACATTCTGGAAAAGGGAAAACTATGGAGACAGTAGAAAGATGAGTGGTTGCCAGTATGACTAGTTGGAGGACAGATTTGTAGGGCAGTTGAAAACACTGCATAATACTACAATGATGGATACATGTCATACACATTTGCAAAAATCCCTAAATGTACAACAATAAGAGAGAACCCTAGTAAAAACTATGGACTTTGGATAAATATTTGTCAGCATAGGTTCATCAGTAACAAAAGCATCACTCTGGTGAGGGATAATGATTCTGGGGGAAAGACTATGCTTGTGTAAAGACTGGAAATACATGGGAAATCTTTATGTCTTCTGCCCAATTTCACTGTGAACCTAAACCTGCTCTAAAAAGTAATGTCTATTAAAAAAAAGTACTAAAGTTTAAATGGTTGAAGAAAAATTTTATAAGCCAAAATAAGAACTGTAAGATCTGACTGTGTTAAGTTTAAAATATTCTAAGACCTCAATAATTTGCTGAAAATTAATTCATATGCTACTTACTAAATTCATGAGAACAGAAACCCATTAGGACTTCTACTTGATCATCATTTTTTGAGCAGTTATGCACACACCATTCCAATGATTAGATGTTCAAATAAAGATATAGATTAGACTTTGTAACTTAACATTTGTACAGTCACTTCATACTTACGTTTCTAAATGACTCTTCAGCAAGTCATACACCAACACATTATTGCACTGTTTTGCAAAATGCAGTGCGCTATTTTGGTGCTTTGACAAAATATTGCAGTCAGCTCCACATTCAATTACTAGTCGTACAATGTCTGAATTTCCCCTTTTACAGGCCTAGGTCAGGAAAAAACAATCATTTATTAAATATAAAATAAGATAAATACCAACTAGTGTTTGTCTTTTTCTCTGCACTTGAGCCTGGGAGTTCATGTAGAAGTGGGGATAAAGCCTGTCACCCCAGGTGTGAGACTGTGAGGCATGCCAGGTAATGGGATGCAGTGTGTACCACTTTTCAGTGAACAGTACAGCATCTGTCTACACTAAATTAATTTCTTCTCTGACTGAACCTTCAGGAGAGAGCAATGGTAAAAGACACCTCTTTCCCAAGACAAGAAACACTAGATCTTTCTAAGTTCTCTCATGTTCCACTCTTTTGAGCCACATGCTCTGAGTTTCATAGCAGAGGCCCACAGATGATAAAGGGGGTCTTATCTCTTGAAGAGGTTGATACTGGGAATCTCTGAAGTAACTCTTAGCATCATAAAATAATTTCAAACTTTTCCTTTAAAGGAGGCTAAAAACATGAAAATATGAATTCAGCAAAAATCTAAGATAGAGCTATGACATAGCACCTCTTAGCATAACCCAGCAGTTCTTGTCAGGAGCAATTTTGCTCCCCAAGGGAATTTTAGGCAACCTTTGGAGACACTTTCTGGTTGTCATTTTCACTACCAACAGCAAAAAGATGTTTTTCCCACACTCATAGTCACTAATGGCCGATTGTGTAGAGTATCTCTGAGATGAAAATGTTTGTATCTTGTTTCAATTTCTGAAAATCTTTCCCCATGTATATCTCTTTGAATCCCAACATCTGGAAAAACTGATTCAATAACCTAAATATACTAAAATCTTAAAGGAATTACAACATTGCTTTATGTGAACAAACACCTAAATAAATGAAACTAATGGTAAAAGCATGCACTATAATTTGGACACTAGTTAAATGTGTGCTCAGCTCCTCTCTGGGTAGAAGCAACAAAGTTCATTCCCTCAGGCACTGGCATCCCCTCAGTAAGGGCTCTTGAAATGCCTGTAGCTAAGCATCTACCTACCTCTTCACCCCTGCAGGCTCACACTGGCTTCAAACCTAGCACTAAAGTCTTTTGGACCAGGGCGCCATCTCTCTCAGGCACAAACTTCCAGGGGCAACTTTCCAGCCCACTGTTGGTCTATGCCCAGTGACGCTCCAGCCATATGCTCCCTGAAGAGCTCCTCCACCAGCTCTCAGGTTAGTCTTCTCTCCTGCTCTCCCTCTGGCTTCCCCTGGTCTTTCTTATGCAGCCTCCTCCATCTCTATTACTAGCCTTTTCCTCTTTTCCAAGCTTCAGTGGCTGACTCTTTCAAAGCCATGGCTAGAACCACTGTTGCCCACACGAGTGACCGCCCCCCCACCCCAACCAATCTGAATCTGCAGCTCATGCCTCCCTCCTAAGTAGAAGGCACACATTCTGGCTCAGATCCATCTCCCACTCTCTGCTGCTGCCCCTGTTCCCCAACTTATGAATTGGGACTCCCAAGCATCACCTTCAATTACCAAGTGTGAGTTCTACTGCCTGAAAAAAAACAGTCAAACCACTTCCATCTCACAGGAACTTCTATTATTTCACTTAACCTTAAAAACCTGTCTGCAAGTCTGCAATCTGCCTGTCTTTTTTTTTAAAGATTTATTTATTTATTTATACAAGCACTGGGTAGTCAGAAGCGCGGGAGGGTGAGAGAATTCACCAGAGCGGGGAACAGAACAGGCAGACTGACAAAGTACACTGCTGAGGGGAGCAGCGCGCGCCGCAGGAGTGCAGACGCACGCCATGTGGGGCCCTCGCCGGCGGTCAGGGATTGAACCGGCTCTGCAGAAGCTGCCAGCAGCTTCGCAGGTCAGCACTCAACCGCTGTGCCACCAAGGAGGCCCGATCTGCCTGTCTTTAACTAACCTATTCCCCTACTGCACAAAGGGACATTAAAACAAACAAAAACAAACCTTTATTCTGATGATAACTTTCTCCAACTTAATAAGACCTTTTAATGCCTCCAAACTACTCTCAGGGTAAATTCCTAATTCTCAGCACAGGCGTGGAAAGTGTGTCTGTTCACCGCCCCCACCCCATCCCCACCATCTATGCTTCAAACTCTCTACGTATATGCCATTTGGGAAGCACCTGGTGACTTTTAAGCTCTGAGGTGCCACCTCTGCTCTAAACTTAGGGCAATCATAGAAACACACAGAGGAATATTAAAATTCAAGAGACCACAACAAAATGAACATTTCTGTAATCCAAAAATGACAGAGTAATACAAAGCAGTAAGCAAAGTTTAAACCTGAAGTATGGAAGAAGGTTAAAGGGGCTGGCGACCCAGGCCTTCAGAATAACAGACTCAAGCTGACTGAAGGCCAGCCCCAGGGGCTGCAACTGTGTTCCCTTCCTGACTCAAGAAAAAAGGTTAAATAGATGTTACAGACAAATCCTACCTGGGTCAATAGTTTACCTAAAGCTGCATGTGGTAAGAAACAGGAAGAATGTGTCCCGGATGGGAACTAAACCAAGCCACCTGCATTCAAGGAGTTAGCACCTACTGTGTCTTGACAGCATCTAAGCAGGAACCTGAAACTACCACGGGTACATGCTGGCCTGGGGTAGGCCCCAACAGAGGTGAAAATCAAAACTGCTACACAGGAAAGGGCATGTGAATGCGGCTTTAACAAATTTCCACTCAAAATATACCTGCAAGCTAAAGTTCCAAACACACATGATTAAATTGGAGGTGGAGGCAATGGTTCACCAATGTAAAATAATATAACAATATAAAATAATAATGAAAGCACAGGTTTCTGACATCTCTTACCAGTTCCTACTGATATGTCTCCCCACCTGCTAACTTACATGTTGTTCTCAGGACGCAGCTTAGCCACCCATCCCATCCATCCTCAAGCTTGGCTCCGAGTCAACTTCCATGTGATCCTACAGGTTTTAATTGGTTCTTTGTTGACTGATTTCTCCTACTCATCTGTGACCTCAGGTCCAGAGACTGCCTTGTCCCTGTAATGTTCCAACCCCAGGAGAGTGCTAGGCAGGTAGAGTTCCAACATGAATATCTATTGAGAGACCGAGGTAATGAGGGGGTCCATGGAGGTATTTACCTTCATCAGAGCTGTCTCACCATTGCTCTGCTGGACATTTACGAAAGCTCCGGCTTCCAAAAGAATAGCCACTGTAGTTAAAAAGTTCTATTACAGAAAAAAACAAAGCATATTTAATTCCCAAAAGTCCTTTAGATACTTTTAGATGTTTTAAAATTTTGAGCCATCAGGAAAACTATTCAGATTCTATCCCAAGTAGGTTGCTGAACCCTACAGTGCAAGGTGCCCAAAGTCTAGGGTTGCTGGAAGGCCCCACAGCCCAACACCCACTATAGTCACACCCTGTTTTGCCAGCAGCTTCAATCTGACACTTAACCACTGTTTTCCTTTTTTAAAAAAAGATTTATTTTTATTTATGCATACAAGAACTGGGGTGTAGGCCAGAAGTACAGGGGTGAGAGGATTCACCAGAGACAAAGCAGGGAACAGAACAGGCAGACTGAAGAAATACACTGCTGAGGGGAGCAGCGGGCAAGACAGGAGAGGTCTGCTGCACCATATGGGTTAGCTCCCTGGCTGGGAATTGAACTCATGCTGCAGTGGCTGGCGATAGCTTGATAGTGCTGATTTTAACCCCGTGCACCCCCAAGGAGGCCCCTAAACACTGTTTTCAACACCAGGACCTCTATAATTCTTTCAAAAGATAATATATGGGACTATTTTAATTAAATTACTACCCAAAAGAAACACTTCATCTCAATTTAAAAGATTTTTAAATCCCCTACAATTGAAATCAGCACCTTAATTAGAGGTCCTTTTTTTAATAAAAATCACTTTCAAATAGATACATCATATTTTGACAATTCAATTACAAAGTACTCCTACTGAATCCATTCATGAAAAGTCCCAGGTGAAATGAAACATGAAATCATGAATTATGAGACCGTGTCACAATATTTTATTATAGAAATAGATTCTTAGCCCATGGGCAGGAATTCACATGAGACTATGAAACCAAAGCACTCTGAGTCACCAACCTTCTCAGCTGCATGAATCAGGGCTGTGGTCCCATTCTTCTGCCTCCTGTTGACCTTTGCGCCTTTCCTGAGCAGGAGCCTGAGCAGATCATCCTGGCCTCCCGCTGCAGCAAGCATCACCAGAGTCATCCCACTGGAGTCCTTCAATGGATGTAAGAAAAACATGCCAATGTTTAATCAGAAAAATCAAGAATTGTTCCCACCTAGGAAATCTCAATGTGTGATCACTGAAGTGCACTGAAAGAAGTATTCACTCAGGTCTTTAACTAAAATATCCTATTGTACAAGCAGAAACAAAAAACCTTTCAATTGTTTTCCCACATATTGTTACCAACCTTCACATATTTAGTTTGATAGACTCATCAATACTTTTTGTATGATATAAAATGAACAGAGAATCTTGATGCTATATATTTGACAAAGATGCTTATTTACTTATCTCTCAAATGATTTATTTCACATGTAAGTCTCTGTTGGTTCTGGAAAAAAGAGCTAAAACTCACACATACATTGTATTCGCTTAGCCTGAAGATATATATGAGTCCATTCTATCAATGACAAAATAAAATAAATGCTGTTTAGATTAAATATAGGTCTATATAAATGTAACTACTGAGAAGCAAGAGTTTGGGGGGTCTTAAGCAAAAGACCATTCAGAAGCAGAAAACAGGACATTAATATGATTAGTTTCAAACAGAATCTGATAAAACTAAGAAGCTAAAAGTGTGACTAGAGATAAAATGACCTAAAGTTGGGCCTCCCTGGAGGTGCAAGGGGTTAAGACGCAACCTATGAAGCTGTCCGCAGCCACTGCAGCACGAATTTGATCCCCGGCCAGGGAGCTACCCACATGGCACAGCAAACCTCTCCTTACTCACCCACTGCTCCCCTCCGCAGTGTATTTTGTCAGTCTGCCTGTTCTGTTCCCCACTCTGTCACTGGTGAATCCTCTTACCCTCCCGCACCTCTGGCCTGTACTCCAGTTCTTATATGTATAAATAAACAAATCTTTAAAAAAAAAGACCTAACGTTGACAAATATAAAAAATTATTGACTAAAATATTTTCAATTGCTAGTTGAAACATAAGGAATAAGATTAACAATAAGTTTAATTTGAGGGGCCTCCCTGGTGGCGCAGGAGGATGAGCGCCGCACTGTAAATCTGTTCGTAGCCTCTGCAGCACGGGTTCTGTCTCTGGTGAATCCTCTTACCCTCCCACGCATCTGGCCTGTACCCCGATTCTTATATAAATAAATCTTAAAAAAAAAAAAAAAGAGAAAAAGAGTGAGTTTAATTTGAAAGAGTTAATCTGAGGATAATATGAAAGTAAACAGTCTCAGGGAACACAGTGAAAATTGGTCTGGCAGAGTTCTCTACTCAAGACAATCTACGAAGACTGAAATAAAATGGTATAAAATCACTTCTCATCTGTACAGTGTCTTATTACTACAAAACACATTAAACAAAAATAACTTTTTCTACTTTAGAAAGTTTCCTACAGTTATGATGCTTTAGTGATAAAGATCAAGGTACCTAAGAAGCATCTGATAAAATCCATGCTCCATTTCCGACAAAAATATAAGTTGTCAAAAAATAGAAAGATAAAGGCTATCTGAAAGAAACCAACAGTTGGACAAATGTGATCTTCACCCTGAGACCTGAATGGGAACATTTCCGTCCAAATCAGGAATGGCACAGGGTCACTCTTACCATCACCGTTACTCACGTGTCACCAATTTCACAAGACCAGAAAAAGAAATGTAATTGGAAAAAAGGAAACAAGTAGTTATATATTGGCAAATGACCAAAATCTCTACCCAGAAAACCCAAAGCCAAAAACTTAAAAAGTATCAAAGTAAGAGATGTCATAGTGACTGGAGTTCACACACACACACACACACACACACACACACACACACACACACACACACACAGCTCATAGAGAAAGCAACAGTATTATCCTATACATGCAGTAAGTAGACAGAAATCAGAATGTGCATTTTGTTATGTGTGGCAGAAGATCCTAATGAGCATAGTAAGATAAGAAATTACAAAATATGTAAGAGTACATAAAAAATATGCCAGACCTATTTGAAGAAAAAAAAAAATCCATGAATTTTGCTTAAGGGAATAAATGAAGAGCTGATGAATATAGTTACATTCCAGATGGCTCTAGGAATATAGTTCTAGAATATGGGAGTTCTAAGAATAAAGTTCTAGTTCTCAGCCAAATTAATATATTTCATGCAAAAAGAAAATTTCATGCAATTTTAATCAAATCCCAATAATTTTTGGAAGTTACTCCCACAGAATTAAAAATCCCAAACTAAAGCAAGAAAACTAAAGAAGGAAATATAGTCTTTTCTAAGGCAAGACACCAAAGAACCACAAAGGAAAAAATTCACAGATCAGACTACTCCCAAAATAAAAATCCTCTAAAGCAATTTATTGACTCAGAAAACAAAATCTAAAAACTAAGAAAGGTTAATTAATATGCTTGTATATAAAATCCCTTTAAATATAAATCAGCATTAAAAAAACCTCCAGCAATGAACAGAAGAACAGGTAATTGCTTTAAATAGCAACTATCAAGGAAACACAAACAGTGACAAGATAGTCACTTTACATCCCTCAATGCCACAGCGGTCACAGCAGACAAAGCCAGATAGATCCTGACTGAACCAAATGCTCATTTTGGGGGGTTAGAAGTACAGGGGCTACAATTTTCTACATTATACATTTCTGCTATGTTTGAATTTTATAAAATCATCAATATATGTTACTTTCAGAACTGAAGAAAAATTTAATTCCTTTAAAAGAGCTAAGAGAGCTACTTTCCATTTTTCTTTCATGAGAGTTTTCAAAGAAAAATTACCTCTTGATCCAGGTTATAGTCTTCATTTGAATTAAGTGCAACTTTCACAGTAATATAATCCCCATTTTTCACAGCATCCCTTAGTAAATCTAAAATTTAAGAAGAGATAAATTTGGTTTTAAATATCCAGATTCATGAGAAGGCTCCCCACAGTTCCAAAACTACTTACTACTTGGAATTGCATCTGCTGGAGTAAAATTTTCATCTTCACCATCAAGATGCTTTTGAAAATCTTCCAATTTCATCCATTCCAGCTGCAAGTCCATGCCCAAACTCAAAATCTGTTGCTTGCCATCTGAAACAAAGAGTCTTAGGGTACATTTGTCTTTAAACAAAGAAAAAAGCTGTTTTATTAATCAAATCTTTGCATATATTTTTAACATGTGCCACATTAACTATTTAATTAATTTTGAGATTCCCTGGGAAGTGATAGAAACTACCCACATTTACATGTCATGGTAACCTACTGACTGTGAAGTGTTGAAATATGAAGGTTAAATATAAGATTGGGCCTCCCTAGTGGTGCAAGGGGTTAAGACACAACCTATGGGGCCTCCCTGGTGGCGCAGGCAACTGAACCCCGCACTGTGAGGCTGTCCACAGCCTTTGCAGCGCGGTTCAATCCCGGCTGGCCGGCAAGAATCCCACGTGGTGCAGAAGACCTCTCCTGTCTTGCCCGCTGCTCCCCTCAGCAGTGTATTTCTTCAGTCTGCCTGTTCTGTTCCCTCTCTGTCTCCGGTGAATTCTCTCACCCTCCCACGCATCTGGCCTGTACCTCGATTCTTGTATAAAAAATAAAAAAATCTTCAAAAAAACCCCAAAACACCCCCACGCAACCTATGAAGCAATCCGCAGCCACTGCAGCACAAGTTCGATTCCCTGCCAGGGAGCTACCCACATAGCACAGCAGACCTCTCCTGATTTGCCTGCTGCTCCCCTCAGTAGTGTATTTCAGTCGATCTGCCTGTTCTGTTATCCACTCTGTCTCTGGTGAATCCTCTCACCCACCCCACAATTCTGGCATATACCCCAGTTCTTGTATATATAAATAATCCTTAAGGAAAAAAAAATAAATATAAGGGTAAGTTAAAGGAAGAGAGAAATCATAGGAATTCAGCCAAGAAAAGCTCTCAATATTTCTCTTTGGTCATTCTTGGATATGCATGGCCTCCAATCAATTATGCAAGCAATATCACTTTAAATGTGAAAAACAGACCTGTATATAAGTAAATTACTGCCTAAAGATCATTCCAGACTGAGCCCAAGATTTTCCTGCAAACACTCTGTTGTGTACCTCTGACAGACCCCCCACAGCACCCTGGGCTCCTTACTACCCATCCTATGGACAGTCAGTGTTAGTGGGATTTTCACTGGGTAACAAATTCTTTGTCTCTAAACCAACTCCTCTGAAGCCACCTGAGTGGTGGGAGAGGGAAGAATGCATCATTACAAACAGGTGGAGGGGGAAGTCCAGGCCCCCTAAATGATCTTCAGTGATAGTGCAGGGGTAGGGGTTTAAGTCTTTGCTGTACAAAGCTAGAGTGTTTTTTTTTTAAAAAAAATCTATATCTATAGGGCCTCCCCGGTGGCGCAGCGGTTGAGCGCTGAGTTGTGAAGCTGCCCACAGCCTCTGCAGTGCCGGTTCGATCCCCGGCTGCTCCCCGGCCATCGGAGGAGGATCCCGCATGGCGCGCAGACCTCTCCTGCAGCCCGCTGCTCCCCTCAGCAGTGTACTTCGGTCCTTCTGCCTGCTCTGCTCCCCGCTCTGGCTCTGGTGAATTCTCTCACCCTCCTGTGCTTCTGACTGTACCCGGTGCTTGTATGTATGTATGTATAAATAAATAAATAAAGATAGAATTTCAAAATACTTTAAAAAAAAATAAAAATAAAATGTTACATTATAAAAAAAAAAAATCTATATCTATATAGACACACACACCCAAAATCAACAATTGTATACCTTAGACTTATACAATGTATCATGTCAATTGTATCTCACTAAAATTGGAAAAGAGTAATTTTCTACATGGAAGAATACATTTTTTTTCTCTATTAGTTGCAATATCTCTAAAGTTTTTGGAATTCTCTCTTACATCCTTGAACAGGCCATTTGCCAGATAATACTCTTTACTGCCAAATCCTTATTCCTAGAAAATAATGCACTTCCTTCTTTGAAAATTTCAAAAGTTCCAAAAACCTACAAAACCAGCCATGTCTTTACTTGTGTTAACAAGTGAGGAACTATAGAAATTATCTTTTTACTAACCTATTTTTACTGAGGTAATATTGGGGTGCCCCCATCAAGTGTCACCTCCCACCAACTCACCCATATTTACTACCACAGACCACTGTGATTCCTTCTTTCTTTGTCCTTTTCCCTCTAGCCCCATGTCTATTCCAAGAAATTATCCATGTTTTGTTAAGTTCAGCAGATAAAGCTTGTCTTTATTTATTAATTTAGTTTCTCTATATCAGAGGGGTGGGGCAGACAGGAGGAATCTAACATTGTATGTTGAGCTGGACTTGGGGTTAGCATCTTAAATCTCCCTCACTCCAGCCGGGGTGCATTTTAGCATGCTAATGAGACCTTGGTCACTCTAGGTCAGAGTCTCCACCATCTGCACATATGAGTCCTTCTGCCAGCTCCCCCGGCCTCCCAGATATTGTGAAACAATCATGTCAGAATATGTCTAAGTTTGGTGCCTTTGCTCAGGTTGATGGGACAGGTTGTTTAATCACGTTAGGTAGTGTGGCCTACCAGCTTGTGATTTGGCCCACCTGTTTAACAGAATGTTGGGCAACTCCACCCTGCCAGCTCAAAATTTAATTCACCTACACTATCTCAATTATCTATAAATGCCATGAGAATTTAAGTTGAGTTTGATTAGAATAGTGACACTACAGGCCAATTTGAAGAAAATGACAGATTTTTAAATTGCTTGCTATTAATAAAATGGCATATATAAATCTTAATGTTTCAAGCAATTTTTATAATTTTCTCCACATAGGCATTATAATATTCTTTTTTTTTTTTAAAGATTTATTTATTCATGCATACAAGAACTGGGGTACAGGCCAGAGGTGTGCGGGAGCAGTGAGAGGATTCACCAGAGTCAGAGTGGGGAGCAGAACAGGCAGATCCACTGAAATACACTGCTGAGCGTAGCAGTGGGCAAGTCAAGAGAGGTCGGCTGCACCATGTGGGTAGCTCCCTGGCTGGGGATCGAACTTGTGCTGCAATGGCTGTGGACAGCTTCATAGGTTGTGTCTTAACCCCTTGCGCCACCAGGGAGGCCCCAATATTCTTTTGTTTTTTAAAGATTTTTTTTTTTTAATTTATTTATGCATATAAGAACTGGGGTGTAGGCTAGAGGTGTGAGGAGTGAGAGGATTCACCGGAGACAAAATGGGGAGCAGAGCAGGTGGATCTACTGAAATACACTGCTGAGGGGAGCAGTGGGTGAGACAGGAGAGGTCTGCTGCTCCCTGGCCGGGGATCAAACTCAAACTGCAGTGGCTGGTGGCGGTAGCTTGACAGCGCTTGATAATGCTGAGACTTTAACCCCTGTGTCACCAGGCAGACCCATAATATTCTTTTATGAACAGTATTCTTAGCAATACTTTAAATGTACTGCTACTGAAAATTATCTTTTAAAATTATATCAACTGTGTAGAAATGTATATTGCATAGAAATACAAATACACAGAAAGGTAGTAAAGTCATATACCCAGTCACCTTACTACCCTAATATTACTAAATTAGAAATATTACCCGATAATGGACAGTTTTCCCAAAGGCTGTCTTTCATTTTTTCAGTGTCTTACAGTGTAGCTAAACCTTAGTATAGTATGGAATATAAAGGTAACAATAAAATATATCCTTGTATTGTTTGATTTAAAAGAAATGCTTCCCAAGTTTTAACATTTCAAAAGTTATTTGAAAAGGTTTCATTTTCTTCATTGACTGAAAAAGCTCTTTTATTCAGTTTGCTAAGTTTTTTGGTTTGTTTTTTTTTTTAATCAGGAATACTACTGAATCAATTTCTCTTTATTTATTGAATTCTTAAGGGACACTCAATTTGGTAACAGGTTATTTTTTTAAAAACCCAGCTATCAACTTACTCAATTTCCTAATGTTTTGCTTGGAAGTTTACCTGTTCATGAGTGAAGTTGGCTTATCATTTTCTTTTCACATAGTTTTCTTTTGATTTTGATATTAAAGGTATAAAGAGCTCACAGAATGCGTTAGTATTCTTTGTCTCTATTTAAGAAGACTTTTTATAAGTGTGGTAAACCTGTGCATATAAAACCATGAATGCCTGGTATTAATTCTATAAAGCTGTTTAACATTACTATTTCACATTCTTTAATAGCCATAAGACTATTAAAATCTATGTATTTTTTTCTTTGGTAAGTTTTGTTAAATGCTATTTTTTCATTTCATTCAGTTTTCAAACACATCCCAAGAAATTGTTTATAGAATGTTTCTATCTTTTTAATGTGGGCATGTATTATGTCTCTGCTTTCACTGGAAATGTTATCCCTTTAAGTCTTCATTCTTTTCCCTTAACCAATGTATCAGCAGCTTGTCAAATTTTATCAGACTTTTCAGTGAACAAACTACTGGCTTTACTGATACTCCTGGCTGTATCTGTTTTTTACTGGTTGGTAACCCAACAGCAGTTATACTCTTTGGACAATGTACTTCCAGCCCCATGCCTACTATTCCAAGAAATATCCCAGTGTTTTATAAGTTCAGCAATGTATCAAAAAATACATTTGATCTAGTACGCATAGGCTTTTTGGAATAACAGGGCCATCCAGACTACTTAGCCTGCCATATATTCTAAAATAATCAATTCCTTTTAATGGATTCTCAAGATCTGCAAATCACACAAAACTTTATCAGATTAATCTCTTTATTCTGACCTATCTAACCTCTTTTGTCCTTGTTATAAACAGATATTGTTTATTACTACTGCTCACAGACATTGCACTCTATATTCCAACATGATCCTATGCTCCTTCTCAGCTAATTCCAATATCCTCAAGACAGCATTTATGAAATATCTTTAGTGTCATTTACTACAAGATTAGAAAAGGTCAAATAAGTACCTATTTAATAATTAATCTTCTGAAAGAAATTAATAAAATATACAAAGAGGCTACTTAACAAGAGTAGTTAAGGGAGAGAACAAATATCTTTGTAACTTCTAAATGTGCTGAGCATATTCTAAGGACTCAAAATATTTGCTTGAATGATTTAGAAATTACAGTATGACTTAAGTTTTTAATACAAAGTCATTTATTCAGGAGATTCAAATAAAATCCTCTACTTCTTTATTTTCTTATCAGAATTACAATGAAAGAGAAGAATTACAATGAAAGAGAAGAATAAAAGCAATTTTCCACTACCCTCAAATAATTTTGCAAACTGATTACAAACATACTCACCAGAATTTTCATCCACTTGGCATACACTGTCTAGAACCTCTTGATCCCCTTCTGCAGCTATATATGCCCAGGTATCAGTTTCTTCTCTTATATTTTTCCTTTCTTTAAGTGACTGCTTGTTTTCCTTCGTTTTTTGATCTTCTGTCACCTTACAGTCTAGAGGTGTTTCTTCTCTTTTCCGATTAGTCTCAGGAAAATCAGTTTTTTCTTCTGGAGTTAATTTAAATAAATCGAACGCATTTCTAATTTCTTTCAATGCTAGTGAAAAAATAAAGTCAATGGTCAATATGAAGCACAAATTTCTATTGTAATCAAAAGAAAATATGGCCCACTTTTGACCAAAATTTGTCTTGGTTATTAAGAAGGGTCACATTTACTATCAAAACCACATTTACTGGGCCTCTCTGGTGGCGCAGCGGTTGAGCGCTGGGTTGCGAAGCTGCCCACAGCCTCTGCAGCGCCTGTTCAATACCAGGCCGCCAGGCGAGGGTCCCACATGGCGCAAAGACCTCTCCTGCTGCGCCCGCTGCTCCCCTCAGCAGTGTATTTCATCAGTCTGCCTGTTCTGTTCCCTGCTCTGGCTCTGGTGAATTCTCTCACCCTCCCGCGCTTCTAACTGTACCCAGTGCTTGTATAAATAAATCTTAAAACAAAAAACAAAAAAAACCACATTTACTATCAAAGCTGTTTAAACTAATTCTCCTATTGGCTACTCCACATTTACACGGAAAGGGTGTCCAAAGTTAAAGATTAATCCAACATTCTGAACTACTCCCAGCTGTGACCTACGGAAGTGATGAACCACACAATAATCCAGTCATGACACCCACAACAGTACCCGAAGCTGTCCATATACTTAAAGTGGTCTGTGGTGGTGAGTGGCAGAATGGAAATTGACCAGCACACTAACTGTGTACTTTGTAAAGCTGTATCCAATGTCTGTAAAAAAAAATCCCTGGCATTTAAATAAAGACAGAAGTGGAAATATTGAAAAGCATTATTAGATCTGACATAGTAACTTCAAAAAAGTGTAGAACTTGGGCCTCCCCGGTAGCACAGCGGTTAAGCGCTGGGTTGCGAAGCTGCCCGCGGCCTCTGCGGCGCCGGTTCGATCCCCGGCTGCTCCCTGGCCACCGGAGGAGGGTCCCACATGGTGCGCAGACCTCTCCTGCCGCCCGCTGCTCCCCTCAGCAGTGTACTTCGGTCCTTCTGCCTGCTCTGCTCCCCGCTCTGGCTCTGGTGAATTCTCTCACCCTCCCGTGCTTCTGACTGTACCCAGTGCATGTATAAACAAACAAATAAACAAGAAATAAAATACATGCCTCTTAAAAAAAAAGAGTAGAACAGAAAAAAATTATGAAGAACTCTATGATAAAATCTGGAAACATAGCTTATACGTTTTATTAGCAGGGGACAGTAAAAACCAAATTCCCAGTGAATATCTTTATAAGTGGAATAGATTGCTTAGAACTATACATTCATAGTAAAAATGTACATGAAACTGACATGAAGAACACTAGGAGGAAGAAAACAGATACAGAAACCGGTACAGTCTTTAGTCACTTTATGTATGATCCATCAAAATAACAACTGTTCCTTCCTTGATTCCATAATCACAGTAAATTAAATTCTTTCTGCAAAGATGGCAATGTTTAATGGTAAAATGTTAGTATTCACACTCACTCTTTAATCCCTTTTGTTCTTTACGGCCTTTTTCTTCCTTGTTGAAATCAAGCCTTTTCTGGTATTTTTCTTTGGGTTCATGTTTTTTGGTCTCTTTCTCCTGAAAAGAGACATATATAAGATCCAAAACAAAAACAAATAACATGCTGATAGAGAACATCTGAAAACTGGAAAGTAGTTTCCTAATATCTAACTGCCTCTGTGTACACTAACTAGTACAATCTCTTTTCATATAAACTGCTTCCTTAAATAAGACTATCCTCTCAATTAAGATAATTTTAAAAATACCAATTTCAATACCCAATACCAGTTTCCTTTTAAGAATTGCAAGAATTTTTTATTAAAGAAAATTTTAAAAAATCACCTAGTCCTACTAACTAAATATGACTATAATCTCCCTCTGTAATTCTGAATAATTAATATTTCAATAAATTAACTGTTTTTAAACCTTTGACAAATATTACATATCTGAATACTTTAATAATGTGAAAGTTATATAAAAATTTGAAAAATTATTAAAATAATTTTTGTAACAAAAGGATAAACTATTAAACTTATTTCATGGTAATTAAAAGATTTACCATATTAGTACATTCTACATGCCATTATTTGGTTAAAAGTGGCATTTTCTTAAGGAAACAGGGAGAAGTATTAGGTAGGATGTAAAAAGCTGATAAGCTAGCTGGTGAAGTTGTAAGCACTACTACACAATGCAACATAACCACCTGAGTAGCTCTAAAAAACACTTCTTGATTTTCATTTACAAGTTAGCCCTCACTTTTCAATGTATCCTTACTCAACAAGAAACCAATTCTGAAGACAGAGAAAAGCTGGGAAGGTACAAAACTAGATAATTTTCACCATTTATAATACCCTATGATTAGTCACATATTAAATAACTGCTTAATGACAGAGAAACTAGTCTTAGTTTGTTTCATAATTTCTTCATTATTTGTAAAACATCTTGACCACTCACAGGAATACTGGCTTGATCTGAACAATTCTGTGGTCACTAAGAGTCTAACCACTGAACTTAATCAAAGTCTGCCTCTCCCTAGTACTCACCTCCCCAGCGGAGTCAGTGGACCCTGTGCCTCTCTCCCCCACAGCCACTCTTGAACTCCTGGGTGTTTGGGCAGATGCAGAAGGTGGCTTATCTAACTCTGCAGTACTTTTGCCTTTGTCTTGGTTCCTTTGCTTTTTATGTATATTTTTCTTATCTAAGAAAAGATTCTTGTTTTCTGGCATCTTGCTCTCTTTAAATTCCTCAGTCTTTCTCAGTTTCTTTTTTTTTCTCTTTGCTTTGACATCACTATCCTCATCAGCACTCAAGGAGCTTTCAATTTGTTTATCAACAGCAGTAGCTTGTAAGACATCTTGCCCTGCTTTTTCCCTCACACTTTTAATCTTAAGTTTCTCTTCTCCATTGTCAGAATATAAATCTTCATTGTCATCTTCTTGAAAGGGGGAGTCATTAAGTACACTTGATTCAGATTCCAACTGAGAATCCACACATTTCTCTTTTTTTGTTTTTCTGTTTTCTTTGGAATCTTCCCTCATTTTAGTCTTTAAATCTCTTATTTCCCCCCTTTTAACTTTCTTTAATTCCCTAGTTTCTTTCATTTCATCTTTTTTGGGTTTTTTGGGTTCCTTTAATTCTTCTTTGGCTTCCAGAATTCTTTTCTTTGTTCTTAAATCAAAAGCTAAATTTTCAAAGGAGCTCTCCAGTTCTGCTTTGGATTTATCTTTTAGTTTCCCAGTCTTTGCTTTTTTCTTTTTCAGATCATCTGGACTTTTCTCTTCTCTATACCTTAATTTTTTCTTTTTCTTCTTTGGGGATGCATCTTCTTTTGTCTCACTTTGCTGATCACTATCAGAATTTGCCTCAAATATGTCATTGTTTAAGGATAATCTCTAGAAAATATAAAAAAGATTTAAAAACTCATTAATACAGTCATTTTAAAAATTTTGAAAAGTAGTACTAGGGAAATTTGGCAGAAAATTTTTATCAAGCAGTTTCTCAGCTTCTTAATATTACTTACCTAAACTGAAGTTGTAAAATACTATATATCTATTTTAGCAAACAGTCTTGGAGGTGAAGATAAGCATCAATTTTGAAGAAAGCAGATAAACATTGACAGAGGGACAGAAAATGTCCGTGCTTCCATAGGTCAAAAAGTAACAATAAGTCTTATGTATGGTTGTTCATGATTTCAACTTCAAAATTTTCTAAAGCACTAAGAAGTAATTTGTACAGACCTTCTTGTTTTCCAGTAAAGTAACTATCAATCTAAACAAAGGTCTCTTTGAAGACTGTGGATCCCAGAATGTACTTAAACTTGTTTGAATTACATATGGAAGAAGCAAGACTCACAAAAATCTTGCATCCTCTGGTTTTACTTATAGGAGGAATATAGGGGAACCAAATAAGAGCTCAGAGAAAAAAAAATTAACAATTAAAAAAAAAAAAAACAGGCAACTATAAATCAGAGACATTCTGCAGGAGAGCGGGAGTGAGAGGGATCAAAACAAGGGTGGGAAGAGTGTATGGGACTATGGTGATGGTGCATGGACGACTTGGTGGTGAGAATTCTATGGGGACTACACCTGAGAAAATAAAGCAAACTTTGTACAAAAATGAACAATGATGTAAAGTATATATAAATAAATTATAATTTAAAAAAATCTTGTATCCTCAACTGAAAAATCTGAAATAGTTCCTATAATAAAGGAGGCTGCTCAGGAATCATAAAGTTAAAAATTGTCCTATCTTCTTCTTGTGGCTTCTAAAATTTCAGGAAAAGTAATTACACGTACATTTAAGTAAAATGAGACAGACCAAGAAAACAGATTGACTATCCAATAAAATAATAAAAGCCTGTCCAAAAAGACATCTAATTATAAAACTAGAAAAATCACAAAATTTGGAGGTATTAGGCAAAAAAGCCAAGGAAATGCAGATTAGTCTTGATCTCTAGAGAGTAATGTTTTATACCAGATGGCAATGAAATAACATTAAGATATTAAAAAATATGAGGTGTGGGAGCCAAGAAATTTATTAAATCCAGTCAAGCTGGATTTAAGTAAAACTTTCAAGCCAACAAATTGTCATAAAATACAAGAAATCTGGGAATTTTATTCTCATAAGACCTTCTACCATAGAGGTGATTCTACAGCCAGAGCAGAACATCAGAATGCAGGAGGGCTTGCCAAAACACAGGTGGCTAGTCCCCAAGTAGACCGCAGTAAAACAAAGCCAAAACCCCCTGAGAGAAAAATGAAGACCACAGCACACACCAGGGGCAATTGTCGTAAGAAAGACCATAGGAAAAAAACGGGAAGTGGGGCCTCGCTGGTGGTGCAGGGCTTAAAGACAGTGCTATCAAGCTATCAGCAGCCACTGCAGCACAAGATCAGCCAGGGAGCAACCCATATGGCACAGCAGACCTCTCCTGTCTTGCCTGCTGCTCTCCTCAGCAGTGTATTTCAGTAGGTCTGCCTGTTCTGCTCCCCCTCTCTCTGGTGAATCCTCTCACCCCCCACACCTCTGGCCTGTACCCCAGTTCTTATATGCATAAATAAATCTATCTTAAAAAAAAAAAAAAGAAAAACGTTAAGTGAATTCTGTTCAGTGACACTGCGGTAGCACAACACATCAGAGAGGGGGGCAGCTGCTGTGCAGAGCCCCTACAGTGGTTGACTAAGATACAGGCCAACAGCTGAAAACAGGCACTGCACTGTATAAGGTGGTGCTTGAGTTGACTCTCAAGATGGAGGATGCACAACTGGAGACCTGCAGGGGTCGGGGGTTCAGAGTGAGGATTTCTGGTTTGAGCTGGACATTATCAATACAGAACTGCTGATCCTGAATGGGGTTAGAGAAGAGGAGCGCCTATGTCTATCACAACTATACTTACTTCTGATAAAATAACTTCCAATTATGATGGGTGAAAAAAAGAGATGGACATTATATTATGACTAAGGGTCTAATACAACAGGAAGAAATAATACTCATAAATACATAGCCAAATGATGGAACATAAAGATACCTTAAGACAATAATAGAATTAGAGATTGACAATACCACAATATTAGGGAACTTTAATACAATAGGTCAACAAAACAATGAATAAATAAGGAAACAATACTTACATGAGGAGCTAAACAAAATGGAATATTTTCAAGCAAAGTTTCAATAAAACTACAAAAACTGAAATTATTCCTCTATCTTTGACAATAATGCCATAAAACCAGAAATTAACTATAAGAAAAACAATGAATATATGGAGTCTAAAAAACAAGCTGCAAAAGTGGATTCAGGGGGAAAATAATCAATACAGCTCCATTATTAAGAAAGAAAAACCCCAAATAAACAACCTATTATCACACCTAAAGCTACTTGAAAAAAGTAGAACATCAAGATGCAAAGTGAGCAGAAGGAAGGAAATAATAAAAACAAGTCTGGAAATACATGAAAGATATCAAAAAGAATATACAAAAGAATCAATGAAACTGAGTTGGATTAGTTGGAGGACTGGGGAAAGAAGATGGCAGAATGAAGACACAGGTTCACGTCCTCTTCGCTCCAGTGCAGCAGAACAAAGCCAGTAACTCCTGAAGGTAAGACAGAGGACTGCAGTGTACACTGGGACCACTACCTCTCCCACATGCTAACTACCAGTCACCAGCCAGCAACTTTGAGAGTGAGAACCAGATCCAACACCCATTACCAGTAAAAGAACCCAGATCCAACACCCATTACCAGCAAAAGAACCCAGCCTCCAGCAGGCAGCGAAGGGAACCTGCCATTCCAGCCCCCCTGCCACCAGTCAGAAGAGCTTTATCTGCCAGCTTTGTAAGCTGGGCCTCCCTTGGCTTCCAGTTACCAGCTATAAAAGTCCAGCCTTCAACTCTCAGCTTTGTGAACCAAGAGACAGGTGGGTCCTGGCCTACAGCTGTCAGCCATCAAGAGTCCAGTGACCAGGGACTCCCCGGTGGCGCAGCGGTTGAGCGCTGGGTTGCGAAGCTGCCCGCGGCCTCTGTGGCGCCGGTTCAATCCCCGGCTGCTCCCCGGCCACCAAAGGAGGGTCCCACATGGCGCGCAGACCTCTCCTGCCGCCCGCTGCTCCCCTCAGCAGTGTACTTCGGTCCTTCTGCCTGCTCTGCTCCCCGCTCGGGCTCTGGTGAATTCTCTCACCCTCCCGCGCTTCTGACTGTACCCAGTGCATGTATAAACAAAACAAACAAACAAACAAACAAATAAATAAATAAAACATGCCTCTATTAAAAAAAAAAAAAAAAGAGTCCAGTGACCAGCCACCAGCCTCATGAGCTAGAGCAGGGTTCTCCTCAATTTCCAGCTACCAGCTGAATAGGCCTGGCCTCCAGCTGAGATGACCCTACCAATCCTACCTTCCAGTCACCAGCTGTGTGAGCCTAGTTGCCAGCGAGGGAGCCAAGGACCAGGCTGGAAAAATTCCATTCACCACAACCTTTCTCTTCACAGGTGTGTAAGCCATGAGACCCAGAGTCTCCAATAAACTGAGCACCTGCAGTCTGGGTCCTACTTACTGTCCCTCCCTTTCTGTTTTTCCCATGTTTCCAAGTCAGCTTTCCAGCAAGAAGGTCACTTGTGTTTGATGATCAAGAGTTGAACTGGTGGGTGGAAGAACAGGTGCATCTGAAACATGGATTGTGGGTGCCCAGCTGTGCACCCATGAGATGTTTCTGATAATGTCCCCAATCATGCTGATGGAGGAAAGAATAGAAAACCTAAAGGAGACATCACAAGACTAAAACCTGACTCACACAAGGAAGTGGGGGCAGAAGGGGATTAATGTAACCATTAACCTAGCTATAGAAATCAAGATCCTTAGGCTCCAGTCTTTTTTTTTTCTTTTTTTCTTTTTAGATTTATTTATTTATACAAGCACTGGGTACAGTCAGAAGCGAGGGAGGGTGAGAGAATTCACCAGAGCCAGAGCGGGGAGCAGAGCAGGCAGAAGGACCGAAGTACACTGCTGAGGGGAGCAGCGGGCGGCAGGAGAGGTCTGCGCGCCATGTGGGACCCTCCTCCAGTGGCCGGGGAGCAGCCGGGGATTGAACCGCCGCCGCAGAGGCTGCAGGCAGCTTCGCAACCCAACGCTTAACCGCTGCACCACCGGGGAGGCCCAAGGCTCCAGTGTCTTATCACAAGGCATAAGGCCCAAGCAGATACCAGGTGCTGCAGGGAGTGTCCAGAGCACAGAACTGAGGGTAAAGATACAGAGATTTGGCCCTCCTGGAATCTCAGGTCCCTTTCATATTCTCACGGTTATCCAAAATCAGCAGCAAACAGGCCACTCCACAAAGGAGTGAGCCCCTCCCAAGGAGAAAAGGACTATATCAGTGCAGTTTCTGCACTGGTTCGGGGCAGCAGTCGGTCTGCCCACTGTGACTATGCTATGCAGGTGCTTCTTTTCACCAACTCTCTCCCTATGTAGGGCACCAGCCTTCCTGCCTGCCTGTGACTTGTACTATGCCGGGACTTCTCTTCACTGACCTCCCTCAGCAGATCTCCTCAAGGCTGCTCCCCTGCAACCATGCGGGCCTCTCTCAGCAAACCTGTCCTTCTCAGGGCAGCCCTTTCTGCCTGCTTGTGTCTATGCAAGTGTCTTTCATTCTTCTGTCCCCTTTTCCTAACAAACTTGCTCTTAAAATACAACTAACATCTCTCTCTCGAGAAGAAACTCACCTGGGAAATGCGCCGTGTGCCTCTGAAAGGGGAGCTCTGGTGAAACCTTTCTCAGAGTGAACCCAATGACCCAAACTCCAAAAACCCCATCAGTGCCAGAGAGACTCACATTGATTAGATTTTGGCCAGAGGTTGGAGAATGCTGAAAGGGCCCTGATCTGCCAGGCTTCCTTAGCTTGAA